GAGGGATAATTTTTCTATTTTCATAACCCGACCCCATTTTGATAAATAGGTTTTGGGGCATATTTTGGGGCAATTATCTGATGATTTTAGAGAGAAGTGAGAGTGTTCTAGAGAGAGGAAGTAGATAAAGTATCTTGTTCATCAAATTCTTATCCAAGCCTTGAAATCCAACAAGAAATCCCTCAAGTTCTTCGTCAAAGAGGTAAGGTTCTAACCCATAATCTTCAATTTCGAGTTTGGGTAATGATGGGTGATTAAGAGTATGATTCATGGTTGTAAGAGTATTATTTATACGTATCAATAAGGTTTATAAAAAGAGTGTTGAGTTCAAATGGGTAAAGATTGGGTTGAAAATGGTAAAAATCTTCAATAACTTCAATTGAAGATTTGAGGGTCGAGTTGATGTCGGAATTTAGTAAAATTTATATGGTTAGACTCGTGGTTGAATGGGCTTCCAGATTTTATAACTTTTGTGGGTTCTGAGACGTGGGTCTCACAGGCAATTTTTGAGCTAAATTTCGGATTTTATGGGAAATTAGTATTTTCTTATGGAATTAATTCCAATAAATTTTATTGACTGAATTGAATTAATTGTGGATAGATTCGAGGCGTTTGGAGGCCAATTCACGAGGCAACGACATAGCATAGTAAATAATTACACGGTTTGAGGTAAGTAACACTTCTAAACTTGGTTCTGAGGGTATGAATCCCCGAATTTGGTATGATATAAATTGTTGAAGGTGACGAACACGATAGGTGACGAACATGTAGACGTGCACCACAGAAATTGTGTCTTGAATAAATCCTGTGAAGTTATAAAATTTAAGAATCATGTTATTATCTGAACATATAGCACGTGTTAGAGGAATTGAGTCGAGGCTTGTGATAAATATCGTGTTTAGGCCACGTGCCAATATTTTAGGACCTATGGGGTCGTGTTGTCGTTGAATTAATTATTCAAAAAAAATATAAATTTCACACTTAGTAATAATTGTCCATTGTGAGGATATTTATAGGATTGAGCTGCACAACATAGTAGGCCATAATGGCTTTATACATCATTATTATATGGATCGGGGTTGTCCGCCTGCAGCAGGCCTTATTGGCTTTACTATTTTATGGATCGGGGCTGCCCGCCTGCAGCAGGCCTTATAGACTTTGTTATTATATGGATCGGGACTGCCCTCCTGCAGTAGGCCATATTGGCTTTGTATTACGCTTGGGCTAAAGGAGCCCCTCCGGAGTCTATACACACCCCAAGTGAGCGTAGATGATCATCGATATTCGGGATGGACTTTCCAGGGCATGGACTTGCCTTACTTATTTGTATTGTAATGAGTTATCTGGACATGGATCTTGGCATTATCATTTATATATAGGGATAAATTATCCCAGGGCTGGATTGGCCTTATACGGTACTGAGTGACTGACTGTTAGTCGATGTGTATTTATATACCGGTTGGAACACCCCTGGGCTGGATTGGCCATAAACGGTACCGAGTGACCGGATAATTTATGACCAGTCTTTACATGAGGTTTTTCTACTGAGATGTCATATTCCTCGTATCATGCAGTATTGATCTATTTCACTTGTACTGAGTTTAACTGTTGAACTTGAAAGCATGCCTACATTTCTGTACCATTACTTTTACTAGACTGTACCTGCGGAGCTCATCATTTCTTTCAGCCTAGAGGTTAGTCTTGTTACTTATTGAGTTAGTTTTACTCATACTATACTCTACACCTCGTATGGAGATCCAGGTGCTTTCGGACACAGAGATAGTTGGATTTCAGAGTACTATCAGTTGGAGACTATCAATGTAGCTGTTTGGCGTCCGCTGACCTTGTCTCTTTTTCCTTCAGTTATTGTATTGTTCTATATTTTCAGACAGTGATTTTTATCAGTCAATCATTATACTCATATTAGATGCTCATGTACTCAGTGACACCGGGTTTTGAAGTGTTATATTTGAAATTGTGAGATTTCTTCCGCTGAATTTAATTATTTATTTTCAAACTTAAAAGATATGGTGGATTATTGAGAGTTTCGGCTTGCCTAGTATTGAGATAGGCGTCATCACGACATGTGAGATTTTGGATCGTAACAGATCCGAACATACGCCCAAGTCCTAAATCATCATACGAACCGATTGGGACCATCAAATCCCGGTTCCGGGGGGTCGTTTACTAGAAATATTGACCTAAGTCAAACTTATCCCTTCGAAGCCAATACTAAGGAACTAAGTGTTTCTATTTCAACCCGAACCCTTCCAAATCCCGAACTAACCATCCCCACAAGTTATAAAATAGTAAAAGTACATACGGAGAGTCTTATTTAGGGGAACGGGGATCTAAAAAGCAAAACGACTGGTCGGGTCGTTACATCTACCATCATTCCTGGTGTTGAATTGAATTTCTTTTGTTAGCATTAGTATTGATTTGAACTTTGTTTGAGTAACTATATTTATGAGCTATAAAATTTATTTACCATTCATGAATGTTATGTTCAAACTTGAAATAATACGTTAAAAGATAAAAATATAAAGAGTTTAAGAAATATTGATAAATTACATTACAATAAATATTTATTCGTATAAAATATTTTAAAAATTATATAAATGTATTACCGGGTTGGTTAGATTTCGGTTTGACTTTTTTAGTTAAACCCAAACCAAACCAATTATGGTCGGATTTTGTTTCCAATACCAAACCAAATCAATACACACCACAATCGAATTTTTTTTCGATTTGACTCAAATTATACGGTTTATCAGTTTTCTTTATACACTCTAGTATCTGATTCGAAAAACCAATTTGATTCCGGACATGAAATTTTAGGATGATTCTTTGGAGATTTATCAAGAAGTTGACTAAAAAATAGAAGTACTACCTATTATATGTACAAATATAACCGGCATAAGATACACGTATAGCTATAACAAACTAGATATCAAACACATCGTCAGGTGACTTATTTATAAAACCATAGTACTTGGGAGTTCCTAAAGGCTGAACGTTAGCTAGTGGTCTAATTAAAGTGTTTTTATTGTGTTAATTAACTGTATTCTCTGAAACCTGAAAACAACAACACAACCAAGAATCACTATATTGAATCATACATTATACCCAGAAAATGACTTTAAACGTTTACTTGGGTACCTATACATATCTTATGTTGCAATTCCCTTAATTGTCCATAAACATTTACATGAATCAAAGAACTCAACAACTTATACGTTACCTGGACCAGATGCACCTTACCCGATTAACACCTGCGGTGACATCAACGTAACATGAATACTCTCAGTCATCAGCATTTTCAAATTGACTAACTTAGCTTAGACAATTATCCTTTTAATTTTCTGTTGTTCTTTCTTTTGGGGGGGTGGGGGTGGGTTCAATTTAACTACTTCAAATCAGAGAGCCTGGTATCAAAGGTAATATGGCACCATATGTTAATGAAAAACTAATAGAGATTGGTAATTACCACTATTATTTGTCAGCAAAATATTGAAAAAAACTTAGCTTCGCAAATTGAAAGAGGAGATTTTTTTAGGGAGGGGAAGGGGGATTATTAATGAAAAAATGCTGCCTGAAAGAATGAAAGATCTCCAAATATATGTGAGATCCAAAAATGAAAATCGATTGAGATACTTATCCAATGTTGTTATCGGCACGGGCACATGATTGATGTATGATAACTCAATTAATTGAATGCGTTGCTGCACTTCGGCTAGTGATAAACTTAATTAACCGTCCACCATATAACAAATATTGAGAAATAGAAATGAATGATTAATTCGGTATCAACCACAAGAAATCAAAAGAGAAACATATATAGTTTAAATGCATATTATATTCAATGCAGATCTCATATAATTCTATTTTCTTCCGAACGTATTTCCTTACCACGTTTATGTTCTTGACCAAAACAAAAGAAAAAAGGATCATATACATACGTTTTGTATTAGGATTTCAAGGACTTTGAACTTGAAAATGATCATTTGCAACACGAAATTGTAACTGACTGCTACTAACTTCTGCAATATTATGATTTGTCACTCCATCTCTTTTGAAAAAATTATGCGAATATGCGATTAACGAAGTTTGATTTTGCCATTTTTAAATATTTGTTAATAAAGTCGAAGAGTCAGTCAGAATTCAGGAAGATTGAAAAATTACAACAAGTTGATCCCTTTTCATGAGGTGTTTGTCTTCTATAAACAGGTGATTTACTCAACTTATTCTCATGCAAAACTATGGAGTATATTATTTCAGAAATTACTTGTTTAGTACTTATAAATACCCGTCCGTTCGTTTTGAGTATTACAATCATGTTTCCACATTTACTGCTCGATTTATGCTTTACGGTTGTTATGTGACTCACCGGGGTGATTGGTTCGGGTCCGGTGAGGTTTTGGAATGAATTGGAACACTTAGTTTCAAGGTTTAAAGCTTAAGTTAAAATAGTGACCGGATGTCGACTTATGTGTAAACGACCCCGGAATGGAGTTTTGATGATTCCAATAGCTCCGTATGGTGATTTTAGACTTATGAGTATGTCAGAAAAATTATTTGGAAGTCCGTAGTAGAATTTGGCTTGAAATGGAGAAAATTAAATTTTTGAAAAGTTTGACCGGGGAGTTGACTTTTTGATATCGGGGTCGGAATTCAGTTCTGAAAATTTTTATAACTCCGTTATATCATTTATGACTTGTGTGCAAAATTTGAGGTTAATCGGAATTGAATTGATAGGTTTCGGCATCGAATGTAGAAGTTGAAATTCGTTAGTTTTCGTTAAGCTTGAATTGGAATGTGATTTGTGATTTTAGCGTTGTTTGACGTGATTTGAAGCTTCGACTAAGCTCGTATGATGTTTTAGGATATGTTGGTGTATTTAGTTAAGGTCCCGAGGGTCTCAGTGAGTTTCAGATGGCTAACGGATCAAATTTGGACATAGAAGAAATCTGAAAATTTTCTGTCTTCTAGAGTGATCGCACCTGCGAGAAATTGGCCGCAGGTGCGATGACGCAGATACGGCTCAGTGGGCGCAGAAGCGACTTCTGCAAAAGTGAGAAATTGGGCGTAGAAGAGCAGATTTGGGCGTAGATTCGGCGTATTGCGCAAGTGCGACGGATTTTCCGCACCTGCAGTTTGCGCAGATGCGGTTGGCCTGTCGCAGAAGCGGAGATTTAGCCGCAGGTGCGAAAGCTCTGGGCAGTATACAAAACAGAGGAGTTCCGATATTTTTGTCATTTTTGACATTTTGAGCTCTAGTTTTGGCGATTTTTGAGCAAGAAATGACGGGGAATCTTGAGGTAAGTCACCTGTGATCATTTTTACTCCATAACATTGAACTATCATCGAATAATCCGATTAGATTACATGTTTTTGAGGTGTAAATCGAAAAATTGAACTTAGGGATGTGGAAATAAGATTTGATGATTTGGAGGTTGAGTTAATGTCGGAAATTGGTAAATTTTGTACGGTTAGACTTGTGGTTGAACGGGCGTTCATATTTTGTAACTTTTGTCGGGTTCCGAGACGTGCGATGTTTGAGTTAAATTTCGGATTTTGTTGGAAAATTAGTATATTTTTATGAAATTAATTCTAATAAATTTTTATTGACTGAATCGAATAATTTGTGGCTAGATTCGAGGCGTTTGGAGATCAATTCACGAGGAAAGGGCCTAGCAGAGTAATAATTACACGATTTGAGGTAAGTAACACTTCTAAACTTGGTTTGAGGGTATGAATCCTTTAATTGGTGTTATATAAAATGTTTGGAGGTGACGAACACGATAGTTGACGAGCGTGTGGACATGCACCATTGAAATTGTGACTTGAATAAATTCTGTGAAGTTGTAAAAATTAAAGAATCATGTTATTATCTGAACATTTCCCACGTGATAAAGAAATTGAGTTGAGGCTCTTATTAAAGATCATGTTTGGGCTACGCGCCAATATTTTGTGACTCATGGGGTCGGGTTGCTGTTGAATTAATTGTTTCAAAAAAAATATACATTTCACACTCAGTCATATTCATCCATTGTGAGGATATTTATGGGATTGAGTTGCGCGCCGCAGCAGGCCATAATGACTTTATACATTATTATTATATGGATCGGGGTTGCCCGCCTGCAGCATGCCTTATAGGCTTTACTATTTTATGGATTGGGGTTGCCCTCCTGCAGCAGGCCTTGCAGGCTTTATTATTATACTGATCGGGACTGCCCGCCTGCAGTAGACCATATTGGCTTTATATTACGCTTGGGCTGAAGGAGCCCCTCTGGAGTCTGTACACACTCCTAGTGAGCGTACATGATTATATATATTCGGGATGGATTTTCCCAGGGCATGAACTTTCCTTACTTATTTATATTCTGATGAATTTACCTGGACATGGATCTTGTCCGTATCATTTACATTTGGGATAAAATTTTCGGGGCTGGATTGGCCTTATACGGTACTGAGTGACTGACTGTCAGTCGATATGTGTGTGTGTGTGTGTGTNCTATTTCATTTGTACTGAGTTTAACTGTTGAACTTGAAAACATGCCTACATTTATGTACATTATTTATACTGGACTGTACCTGCGGAGCTCGTCAATACTTTCAGCCTAGAGGTTAGTCTTGTTACTTATTGAGTTAGTTGTACTTATACTACACTCTGCACCTCGTGTGCAGATCCAGGTGGTCCCGGATACGGCGACTGCTAGATTTCGAAGTTAATTATGTTGGAGACTATCAAGGTAGCTGATTGAAGTCCGCAGACTTGATTCCCTTTGTGTTTAATTATTGTACTGTTCTATATTTTCAGACAGTGATTTTATCGGTCAGACTTTGTATTCATATTAAATGCTCATGTACTCAGTGACACCAGGTTTTGGGAGTGTTATATCTGTATTTGTGAGATTTCTTCCGCTGAATTTAATTATTTTATTTTCAAACTTAAAAAATATGGTAGTTTATTGAGATTGTCGGTTTGACTAATTTTGAGATAGGCGCCATCACGACATGTGAGATTTTGGATCGTCACCGTACTCATAATCGATGTCTATCCATTAGCAAAGTTAATATAAATAACGATATCTCGCTTTCATGATTCGATTTAAGCAGTAAAAAGATAACCGTTTCAAACTTTAATTAATTGCATGACTAAGGATGGGCAGTCAAATATAATGAAACTCTTTTTTCCGTTTCAAATAAGAAAAGGACATCTAAGATCTAAGGTCAACCCTAACTTTTGTCAGTAACCTCCTAAATGATGTCCATCATTTTCGGGGTAAAAGATTGTGTCCAACTTAGACACGTCGTAACCACATTATTAAACATTTAAATTGAAACATATTTATTTATTCCATTTTACAACAAAAAATATAATGTTATTTCGTATATTTCTTATGGGTGACAATTTGTTTTATATTTGCGTAACTTGTCCACCTCGTTAAAACCTTACGGGCTGATTAATGATGTATTATTTAAGATTAATGATAGTTGTAACCCAAATTAAGACCTAAATAATCGGGGTAACTTATTTTGGTTCAAGCAAAAATTTAGACAAATTGGACAATCACTTGCTCACTAGCTATGTTTACTACAACACATTCAAATTTCATCAAATTTCGCTACTTAACACTCATAATAATATTGCAAAGGAAAAATGGTCAAACTGTTGTTTGTATTATTTAAAATTGAGTAAATTTGTTTTTCAGTAGACTGTTGGTCCAATGTTACACTGCTATTAGGAAAAAAATTTCTTATTTTACCCTTGTTCTTGACGGAATTCCACCTTAATTGTTGATCATAATAAAAAGCTATGGAGTGAATTTTAATCTTTTCTTAAATTTTTTTGAACATGTACAATTCACTCATTTAAGTGGATAAAGGACTAACATGTTGGAAAAAAAGACAAGGATATCAACATACCAGAACTGCAACAAATAACAAACTTAAGGAAAAAATTCAAACGACGCAAATACAATTTTAGTAAGAAATTTAAACCAAGAGTAGATGTAGCTTATTTTTGATAGTGAAGGATAAATATAAGAAAAGAAAGAAGAAAAGAAAAAGGAGGTAGAAGAAAAGAAAATGAGAAAAGAAAGAAGAGAAGAGGGAATACACGTTGTCCTCAGGAGGCAATTCCACGTGCCCACATGGTGCTATGCTCATATCTCTTCTCATGTCTCATGTTAATATCAATGGTATTAATTAAAGCAAGATCTTAATCATAGTTAGAATATTAGATACTTCTATTTATTTGCTCCCAAAACATTTAGTAGTCTCTCAATTGTAGCAAGAAATTTTCTTATTTTGTAAATGCTTTTAAAAATAATTGGCTATCGTATTGGAGATCACTATATTATTTTTCTTTATTTTCCAAATGCTTATTATTTTAGTCCCGCCAACTCATTTCAAATTTAGTGAAACAGTATTCTAAACCTACGTTTTTTCATCTTCTCGCAAATGAATATTTAAATCTCTCCAATGTTTCTAGAAAAACGGATATAAAAAATTGACATCTAAAGCACATCACATACCAAACATCAATAATTGAACCAAACATAGAAATAAAGTTCTTAAAAGATTTGTAGTGTGAAACCCGATAAGTATCGGCAGCTCTGGCAAGACCAAATTCTTGATTCAAACCCGTACTAATTTCAAGTTCAACCATATCTAATGCCTCTTGAACTTTTTTTGCTTGAGATTCTCGAAGATCATCCATATGTTTAAAAGAACCTCCCACTATATTCAATACAATAGAAACCAACAATACAAGTTCTCCCACTTGAAGATACATTTTGGATACCGCAACGAGAGTCAATTGAAGTTGATGTGCGAAACAATGAATGGAATAAGCAGATTTACTTTCTTGTTGAATCACAGTTTTGAGGCTATGTAGATCCTCTTGCATGTTGTTTGCTCCATCATAGTACTGTCCACACACCTAAGATAAATTCAAAGAATGTTGATCAAGGTAATCAACAATTGCTTCTTTTAAACATAAAGCACTAGTATTACGAACATGAACGATCCCAATAAAATGCTCCACCACAGATCCCCATCTATTAACATATCGCAAGACAATAGCTAATTGCTCTTTGCGTGATACATCACATGATTCATCAACTAGCAATGCAAAAAAGTCTCCATTTAGATCGTCCATAATTGCTTTAACTGTTTCAATCTTACATGCAATTATCTTTTTGAATTTTATGAGAAGTCAATTGATCATTCTTTGGAACCTTTTTCAACACAAGATCACGAATTTTATCACACCTCTTTGCACACCATGAAAGAATCTCAAGTAAGTTACCCTTGTTTAATGATTATTTATCTTCACGATATCCACGGAATGCCAATCTCACCACCTCAATTGAAACCTTCAAGCGAATTTTGTATTCGAGCTTGGTTTGACTTAATTGTCTATCAAATGAAGTTGAATTGATTGTTTTGTTGTAATAGATCTTCACATTTCCTTTTTTCCTGATTATGAATACTGCTCGACCCACCAACATGCATATCTAATCTATTCTTTTTGTGCCAACTCTTAAATTTTAAACTTGAAAATACATCACCTCTACCTTGATGAATGCATTCATCTTGAAATAAGTACCAACACAAATAATAAGATGCATCTTCTATCACACTATACTCCAACCAATTACGATATTTAACAAACCATTTAGGATTGAAACGGCGCTTTAAGCCCGAAAAATCTCTTTGAAGAAACTTATGATATCGAGGTTGGCAAGGACCTTTTCGGGGGTATTCTTTTCTAATCTCATCACGCTCATTTGGATGAAAGTATCGAATGGGTATTCTCTCCTTTGGATCAATCTTTAAAGAATCAAGATCTATTCCTTGTCTTTGTTTCTTAGAGGATTGAGGTTTTTCTTCTAATTGGTTCAAATTTTCTTCCACGGGAGTAGCAATAAGAGAGGATGAACTTGATTGTGATAACTTGGAAGATACTAGAGGGTAAAATCTCTTCATTGTAACATACTTTGCCAGCAAGCTATGCATCGTGTTTATTTTAAAGGGGCAAAATAATTTTTATACATAAGATGTTGTAAGAATGATATAATATATACGGTGTTATTTTTCGACGAAGTAAGTTCATATGAACCCTCTTGACCCCAGGTGGGTCCGCCCCAGATTTTGTAATACTTTTAAAAATAATTGGCTATCGAATTGGAGATCATTATATTATTTTCCTTTATTTTCCAAATGCTTATTATTTTAGACCCGCCAACTCATTTCAAACTTAGTGAAACAATATTCTAAACTTCTTTTTCATCTTCCCGCAAATAAATATTTAAATCTCTCCCATGTTTCTAGAAAAACGGCTATAAAAAATTGACATCTAAAGCACATCACATACGAGCCATAAAAATAAAATAAAATAAATAAAAAATATCTTCAGTTAAACGAGTTTAGTGAGCCCAACAGTTAATAATTTTCTTTTCGTATATGTCGTTAATATTAATAGAGATATATTTATTGGTTCTTGTCATCTGGATTTAGAGGCTCCGGGTGCCAAAATTTTTTAACGTAGTCATATTACAATTTACATTGTCTAATAGGGTATAAATTTAATCGGTTTGGTCTATTTTGGTTTCAGTTCGGGTTATTCGTCTTTGGAGTTAATATAAGCAAATCGATCAAGAAAAAATATTATGTAATAATTATGATAACTTGGAAAAAAACATAAAAATTTAACTGGATTATGCATTTTGTACAAAAAAAAGACATGTTATCACTTTATATTTAGATAATTAAGGCAAAAACTTATACTAATAAGCACTCTAAATATTAAGTAAGTTTACGAATATTTTTCAATTTATAATTTTCATTAAAATTAACTCACTCGATATTATATTCAATTCTCCTACTTTAGAGCAATCTGAACAAAAAATAAACTTTCATCATTGATTAAAACAACAACTTATTCAAGGATTCTTTTTAATTTTTTAATTTTTGGTTTCTGCAAATAGATTTTCAAAGTTGTGGTCCCGGAGAAAATGATTAATTTTTCTTTATATATTGATAAATCACTGAGGAGTTAGGAAAGTGCAACAATGGAGATTTCTTTGAATAAAAACAAACTAAAAAGATCAAAGAAAAAGTCAATAGGACCTATTAATAAATAAAAAAGAGCAATTAAGTAAAGTAAAAGAAAAAACAACGGATCCTTCTATAATTGTCTTAAATGCACCAAACAAAAACTTTTTAAAAAGTCAGCTATGCTAGATTCAAACCACTCACCATTTGGGTGAAAGTGGCGTGCCTTGCCAATGGCACCTTGAGGCTTTTTGTTATTGAGGATGCCACTAAAAGTATTTGTATACATTCCTTCTATATATACATGCATGTATACATACTATTGCATAGTTTCGACCAAAACTTGCGGGTGACGTATCATCCCGTCCCTTACACATAGATCCGCCCCTGGTCATCCACCGCCACGGTTGGTGGCGCAGCCACCGTACAAAGATCAAGAAAAGAAAACCTATAATAATTGATGATATTTGCTTTTTAAATAATTTTTTTTTGTATTAGATTTTGATTAATTTATATTTATGTATTTTTCCCTTTTCCAATTATGATGAAACTAATCCATTTTGTTGAAGAAAACGTTCTTTAGAGTTGTGAGGTTACTGCCAAATATTTGGAAAAACATTTACATAAATGAAGTAAATTGTCAGCTACAATTGTAGAATTGCCAATTTTTTTGGAGGGAGAAATATATGGGAGAATCTATTATCTAACTATGATTAAGAGTTTGCTTTAATTACTTAAATTCAAACCATTGATATTAATATGAGACGTGTGTGAGAACTTGGGAAAATGGAGGAATCGCAAATGGAGAGGAGTTGGAACCCTTTGGTTATTAATTCCTCCCTTTAAAACTAGTAAACAATTTATACCAAATCACCCCAACTGAACAATCATATTACCCAAAGAAACAATCAAATATTCAGCTTTTTGAACACGGAGAAAAAAGGGGAAGCAGAAAACGAAATGGAGAAGAGCAGTGATGGGTTTGAAGAGTTTGGATGAACAACCGGAGAAGCACCTTAACAGGTACTAGTGTGAGGAAAAGTTCCAAATCAAATAAAAGAGCTTGGCCTACATGCTTACACGTTACTTGAATATGTTTCGGAGAGTATTACACTAGTCCACGTGTTTAATATGCATTGTGAAATACAAACACATTGCTTGAATATGTTTCGGGGAGTATTCATACTAAAATAAATATTTTGCTAATACTTCAAGCCTCGCCTTTAGTTTGGATACGCTTAAATTCGTCAAGTCTTGAAGTAGGGGCATTTGTAAGAATACAAAATTTATTCAATAAAATATTTTAGATTATATTTTAAATATATATTTATAGTCCAAATAAATCTCATGGGCCAATATAATTAGATTAACTATATTAGTCCAATATATATGGATTAAATAAATAAGTTTTAATCCATTGTGTTAGCCTATTTAGTTGGGCTACAGATGATGAGCCCACTTCGTTAAACCCAAGATGTCATCTTCCTATAGGTCCTGTTTGGTGTCACGTGTCAAATGACATAGCACATCAAGTCAAACGGAAGAGCCAATAGGATCATGCCACGTGTAAAAATGACAAGGCATGTGTTGGCCTAAGTGAAGGTTAGTTTTGAAGATTGACAAAGTAAGCTCAGGCATGAACCAAGTCCATCCCCTGTGTACATTGACACGGGCAGATTCGAGCATGTGGGATGCACGTGAAGAGATAAGCTTAACTCGATCTAATTAATATCTCCTGATCGAAAATGGTTACATAATTGATAAGGAAAAGGACTCCTTAATCAAAGAGAACACTATCCAAGATAAGGGAGGAGTTGGAGGTTCAGATCAACTAGAACTCTTCCACCAAGGAAGAGTAACATTAGAACTCTAGTTGTTTTCTACTCTACTAACTGTATAAATCGCAGGATGTTCTCATTTTACAGATGACGCACAAAAACAGAAGATAAACGTGAATTGAGAGAAAAATAGCAAGGCATTTTGCAAGCAGTTTGTGTGTGATTCAAGTGTGCGAACCTGAAGCTACATGAACCCGATAGAACAACTAGCTCCAAGTGTCCGTATTTTATTCTAGTTCAATTGTAGTAGGTGTTTTCATATTGTACCTTTCAGCTTTATCTAGAGGCAATTGTAATAGGTACTCAAAGTATTCAAGTTTAAGTTAACTTGAAGTTGTCGCAACAGTTAGAGGTTGGTTGCCACAACGGGATTAGAGTTAATCCTAGGTTTACAAAAGTATTTTGTAAATGCAGTTTTTGGCTCAGTGATTTAGTAGAGAGTTTGAAAAAATCCTACTGGGAAGTAGGACGTGGTTTTTTTACTTTTTGAACTAGGTGTTTTCCACGTAAAAATATTTGTGTTCTTTATTTTCTGCATTTATTATTCCACAACAGTAGTATAAGGAATACATAGAAGAACCAGGTCCTTCTATAAATTTGTGCACGCAAAAAATTGGACACCACACAAATTACCCCATCCCCCTCTTGTGTGGTATTGAAGTTAAAACATCAATTGGTATCAGAGCAGGTTATCAGGCTAACACCTTAGGAGAAGATCAAGATGAGTGCACTAATTGAAAACTGGGAAGGGCAATCCATTCCTAGGCCACCACTCTTCAACGGCCAGTATTACTCTTGGTGGAAAAACAGGATGAGAGATCACATCATAGGAGAAGACTATGAGCTATGGGACATTGTCACAGATGGTCCACTGGCTACCATTAAGATAAATGCCGAAGGAGAAGATGTGCCAAAAACAAGAGCTGACTGCACTGCTGACGACTTGAGAAAATGGGAGAAGAATGCTAAAGCCAAAAAATGGCTTGTTCATGAAGTCGGTCCAGATGAGTACAGTAGAATGCAAAGTTGTACCACTGCTAAGAAAATCTGGGATACTTTGCAAGTGGCTCATGAAGGTACACCTCAAGTGAAGAGGTCCAGAGGAATACTACTATATTCTCAATATAGAATTTCACCATGAAGGAAGGAGAAACCATCCAAGAGATGTATACAAGGTTCACCACACTTACAAATGAACTTAAGTCTCTTGGAAGGATTATTTCTAAAGAAGGCAGAGTTGAGAAGATTTTGACAAGGGTTCTTCCAGTTACTTGGGAGAGCAAAATCACTGCCATTCAGGAATCAAAAAACATTGCCACTCTAAGGTTGGATGAGCTAATTGGAAATCTCACTGCTTATGAACTTAGAAGGTAAACCATGAAGATGGATGCACCCAAGAAGGAAAGGAGCCTGTCACTCAGAATCACTGAAGGTTCTAATATAGAAGATGATGAAATGGCTATGATCACAAAGAACTTCAAAACGTATCTAAAGAGAGGAAAGGGTCTTTCAAGAAGCGGAGGCTATAGCAAACCAAGTGTTCCTGAAAAATAGACCAATGAAGGCTGCTGCAAGTGTGGGAAGACTGTTCACCACATCAAAAACTTCCCTCAATGGGAAATTGAATGGAAGAAGGAAAGAGCTGGACGAAAGAAGGAACATGTTCATCCCAAGAAGAACAATGGATCAACAAAGGCTATGGTCGCTGCTTGGGGAGAAAGCTCAGATGAGGACTCAGATGATGAAGATGAAGATGAACATGCACTTATGGCAATTGGAGAATCCGATGAGGAATCTGAAAGTATAATCCATCTAAAAGACAAGATTAAGTTTTTGTCTAAAGAAAGGCTATCTGAGTTACTTCTAGATTTCATTGATGAATCCGAGGATATAAACAATGAAAAGAAACGATTGTATAAGGAATGTGTGATTTTAAAAGCAAAGTGTAAGAACCTGGAACTTAGAGTTAGTGAGACTGTAAGTGAAAATACTGCACTAAAGAACCAGGTTCATACATTTGAATCAAATGTTCTAGAACTTAAATCTGAAAACCTAAAACTGAAATTAGGAACAAGTAAGAAGATAGCTGATTGTACACAACTCACTCTAGAAGAAAATGTAGGT